GATGTGGGATTTGTTGTAAATGAGTAAAGGGAAAATGAATCAGGAGGGTAACCAACTGTTGCGTTTGTTCTCATTTGGTCCCTTTCCTTTTTTTTTTTGTACTCAATATACCATTGAACTTGTTGTTTGTGTTCACCATAACCCTTTGACCGGCTATCACAGGTCAAAAGCCGGTCAAAAGGGCTATGGTAAACACCAACAACAAGTTCGATGGTATATTGAATACAAAAAAAAAATGGACCATAAGAATACAAACGCAAAAGTTAATTACCTCAAGAGTCATTTTCCCTTATATTTATGAGTTATATATTTAAGGAATAAAACTGTTAGCCTCAAATCAAGGGTGCTACAAGTATCAAATTTACTGTTCCAAAAATCGAAGATGCTAATAATATAAAACAAATTGTTTTAGGAATATAATGTTAGTTCATTTACAACTTAAATACAAGTTGTTTTTGACCCATCCATTAGTGTACATGGCGAATACGTTGTAGACTTAAAACATCTTCAGCTAAAATCTCTAAATATTAAGGTAATAAAAACAGAAAACTGATTGTAAAATATGTCGATATTTATATCAAAAAGAAATATTTGACAAATAAAAATATTTTTCTCAAAGAAAGATAAAAACAAACAAGACTACGCTAATTGTATACAATTTATTTACGTTTGTGGCTTGCAAATTATTACAAAGCAAGGGAGAAGTGCTCTAGGATTGAGCAAATAAAGTTCTTCAATATTTGAATAAATACCTACTTTTCCAGCCAATGAATCAAATCCAGATTGATTAGCAAGTTCTTGAATGTTCTCCAATGGCTTATGAACTCTCCCAGCAATCACTCTACAAACTATCAGAGCTTTCCTCAAACACGAACCATTGTTCACATCAATAGCTTCAAATGCCCTTTGACTTGTTGAAGTTGTGAAAACACCCCCAACTACAATTTTGTTGTTCCCATATTTCTTAATTATAAACCCATGTCGTAGTATTTGACAAACTTTGCAGTTATTTGATTGGCAAAGACTGGACGAGCCGTTGAGGCCAAGATTGCATTCAACTAGGGTTCCGTGAAACCTTAATAACTCATTGCCATCGGCAAGACATCGAGGGTGTTTCTTTTGGAGCTTGCTAGCTCTGACTTTCACAGTTTCTCGATGTTCTTCAAATTCAGATAGTGTTTTTTGCATGTTATGGACCTTCAAGATCCTTTCTATTCCTCCAGAATTGGTGTGGCATTTTGACCAACTGGTTTTGTAGATCAATTCTACGATTTTCCTGGATGAATCTCCTTCAATGAGCTCAGTAACTGTCAAATAAAAAAAAATCGACGAATTACATCCTAGAAAATTAATCCGTAGGTACAAGAATCTTTATTTTAGAGGTTTTTACTAAATAGTAATAGTATTAAAAATTATATTTACCAAATCTTGTACTTCATAATAGCAAGGTTTAGTTTATATTTTTGACACGATTCAGACATTAATAATTAACCAAAAACAGTTTTTTTACTATCGGAGTGATTACTTGTTTTTGGTCAATAATACAAACCACCTTTATTTTACTAAATAGTTTTTTAAGTTTAATGTTTATAAGCACAATTAACCAATTTTGTTCAATAATATGTTCAATTACTTGACTCCATTATTATATTTAACATTTAAAGCACTATTAGTTGGACTAACTTTTTTTTTTATTTTTTTTTTATTTTTTTTTTAATTCTAGTATTAGATATTAAATCCGTATTTTTTTTATTTCTATTATTATATGTGTTGTTCGTGATTTTAGTGTCACATGACATTTTGTGTAATTAGAACTGACATTTGAGCTAACGGCTTATCGTTTGTACTCTATGTTATATGTTTGGTGAATGCCGAATGCATGTATATATAAGATCGAATTATGAGTTGGTACGACAGAATGATAGGGGTCAAGGAGGTCGTGCCCCTAGCAGATGCAAGTTGGATAACCAAGATGGATGACTATTCCTCAACAACTGGTTGGGTGTTCTTGCTTGGGAGAGGTGCTATTTTCTGGGCTTCAAAGAAGCAATCTTGCATTACAAACTCGACAATGGAATCTAAGTTTTTGCGTTAGCTGCTGTTGGAAAAGAAGCTGAATGGCTGATAAATTTAGTCTATGAGATTCATTTGTAGTCAAAGCCGATAACACCTATATCTATCATTTGTGATAATGCAGCTGCTTTGGCTAAGGCTTGCAGTTATCTTTATAATGGCAAGTCTAGACACTTAAGTGTTAGACATAGTATGATTAAAGAACTAATCATTATTCTGATTTCGGTAGAGTTTGTGAAATCGCAACAAAATTTGGCAGATCACTTAACTAAAGGACTTCCAAGAGGCTTATTGCACAAGTATGTTATAGGGATGAGATGAAAGTCCATTTAATTCTATGATGGTGAGACACCCAACTCCCTTTTACTATGACGTTTATAGTTGAATTCAATGTGGAAAGCTCACAATTATAGATTGAAACACAAGAAGTATGCATCCTATGTTTGTGTTCGGTTTTGCAAGTTGACCAGGTTGTAGTATACCTTAATATTTAATTTGATAAAAATGTATATGTAGATAGATGAAGTAAAGGAATTACCTACATGATTGTGAAGTGTAGCCGCATTTTAAGAGGTTGGGGACTTGGTCTTGATACAATCATGAGACAATTATGACACACGACTTTATCATACTGTTAAGTTGTATTTCGCTATAAAGTTCAATAAACTCGTATGTGTTTTACTTTTAGGTATTCAATTGGGTTGAAGTGTTCAATTCTTAGAACACCCTAATTCTCGAGTATTTGAATTATTTGATACTGAAAATGGAATTCAATCATTTCGACATTTTCATTTGTGTACTGGATTGGTTTATTTAGATAGTTTTATGTTAATTCATGGGTTACACTAAAATGGTGGATGATTATTGGTGATTTCAGTGTCACTTGACATTTTATGCAATTAGAACAAACATGTGAGTTAAAAGACTTATCGTTTGTACTCTATGTTATATGTTTGGTGAATACGTAGCACATGCATATATATAAGATAAAATTATAAGCCAATATGACATAATGACCTGGTCAAGGTGGTCGCGTTCCTTGCAGTGTCTTAGAGGCAACACCCTTACTGGTGCCCAAGGGGTAGAGACCCTAGCGGTGATTTTGGTAAGATTGAATTAGTTTTTTTTATGAAAAATCTGAATTCTATGGGGTGATTATGGTAAAATTGCAAAATCTTATCAGTTTTAGGAACCATTGATTATGCCATTAATTTCATTATTTGCATAACTAATTTTGAAGATTAACCTTAATTTGTCCTTATTTATACGACTCCTACTTTGAGCATAAAACAAAACCTTTTTCTCAACTCTTTTCTTTCTAAACGATCTCATAATTCTTTGGTGATTTAACTTGTGTTTCTGTACCTATATACACAAATTTCTTTTTGAATTATTCTATACTGGATTTCCCATAACCCTAACATAGGATGAAAATATCTCTTCAAAAAATGAACATACATGATCCATAAAGAATTTGGATTTCTACCATCACCCTACTCAAATATCCTCCAATATACATAATGTTCAACAAGGATATAAAAATGATATATGGACTCTAGATTTTTTTAGTACTTGTTCCGTTCACTACAATGAAAACATTGTCACTGTAAACAGCCAATGTCACCGCTTAACATATCCTCTTGATTATTCATTAATACTCAAAACTAAAATAAATATTTATACTAAACATTACTTCCTTCGTAAGAGAGTAAAAGATGTTGAATATTAATGCGCCAACGAGACCATTAAAATATCGTATAAATTAGCTTATAACTAAAAGTTAGATTTTCATATAACATGCCAAACATAAATTTAGATTCCAAGGGGGGAGCACTTGGACGGCGAAGTATCTTCCATAAATAAATTTAGGGTTCGATCATAGTTGCCATGGTTTGGTAAATAATTGTAAAAGCTACAAACTACAAATCTTAATTGATTTCATTTTCACCAAGTACTATTATCTATATCACCACAAGATCTAAGGTGTTTTGGATAATCAACCACTTTTACTTTCTAACAACGGAATTAATTCTTATTATGGATAATCTATTATTCTTAAGTATTAATGAATTTGCAAGAGGACATGTTAACTCGGACGTGACATGGGTGTTGTTTATGGTGATAACATTTTCGTTAGTGTCTTTTCAACATCTACACTGTTTGTATAAGCTAAATGACGATGACTTAAACATCATCACCCATGGTTACACCAAGTGCGACCAGGCTCGGTGATTAAATCGTCCACAATTGACATTGTTTAATTTAAACTTTTTTCCTACCACCGCTGCCAATTGCAGCAACCACCACTCTCATACTGCGGTGTTTATGGTGCCCTTCGCTACCATTAATTCTCTTCACATTTGATCTCGTTTACAGTTGGTCCACGAGGACCACGACTTAAATCCCAATACGAACATCAAAATAATGAGGGTGAAGGAGCATGTGGGTCACTTGGGAGTTATCATTCAAAGGAAATGAGATTGTAGAATATACGAGTGCAATACTACTTATGATTGGTTCAATAATGGTGACAGAAGGTTTCATGTGCGACAGGCACAATGTAGTTGACGAGCGTAACAAAACGGAACCAGAAGACGAGAGAAGGGCGGCTGAAGGCGATGACATCATTCAGGGTAGAAGGTGAATTGATTTTTTTAAATAAAAAACCTTTTTTTTTTCTAAATAAATAAATTATAAAGTACAAGATGGTAAAAAAAAATTAAAAATTACTAGTGAAATTATGAGGCTCTGACACCTAAAACTTAAAAACAAAGACAGAATATCAAAGAGTGATGTTAGACCTATATATATCCTGGATTCTCGGTAGCATGTAATGCGTGCTTATATATTCATGTAAATAGAACCTAGAGATGGATTATTATATTTAATCTAATATTAAAGATTGGTTTACTTAAAAAAAACAAACAAAAAAAAAAAAAAAAAAAAGAAGAAGCAAGAATCTTTTCTTACCAGCATGTTTAGAGAGATGATGATTTTCAAGAGCTTCCCATTTGACAAATTGCTCACCACATTTATGACAAGCCAAGCTAAAAATCCCATGGCTTTCACCTTCAAAAGAAGCTCTAGCCTTCGAAGCATTAATAGCACCAAATCCAGAGCCTAAACCTCTACTAGCCCTTGAAAATCCATTAGAGTTTCTTCGATTAGTCATCGGTGAGTTTGTTAGCTTCTGATGATGATGATAATGGTGAGGGCCAGGCGTCCCAGGTTTTAGGGTACCCTCAAATCGTGAGGACACGCCCTCACCATCACCACCAACACCGTTTCCATCTTGCAAAGAACCAAAGCCTGTGATCTTCAGTTCACAGTTTGAATTCGACAAAACAACTTCATGGGCAATTGGGTTTAAAAGTTCTGAACTTCCAATGGACCTAGGACTAGCATTTGTTGTTGTGGTTGCAACTGTTGTTGGTTTTTCGTCCATGTGCCTCTTGCTTCCATGGATGACATCCTTAAGATTTGCTAAAGATCTTGAACACCCTGATTTACCTCCTGTTGATGTTGATGATTTTTTTGTTTTCGTTACTATTTTGCTGAGATTCGTCCCCTGAAAATTTGGATCATGAACATCTGCAGGTCCTGATTGGCAGTGCAATGACTTCCGTAACGCAAACCAAACAGCAGGCATCTCTATGTGTGTATGTATTTGGTCTTCAGGAAAGTTAAGGTTTCAGACTTAATTTGTAGACAAATCAAAACGATAGGAGACCCATCTATGATCGGTTGCTCTTCATGACATAGAAAAAGTCCACTCTTTGACCTAATCTATACAAGCAACCCATGGCATATATATATATATATATAATATATATATATATATATATATATATTATATATATATATATTATATATATATATATATATTATATTTACTATCTTATAAAAACAAATCTCACTATTTTTAAAAATAGATTGAATAAAATAATAATATTTTTTAAGACGTCCAAATCATTAAGCTAATTGTACAACTAATCACTAATAAAATAATATTAAAAATTAAACAAACTCCTAAAAATCTTCTCTTCCAAGGTTTTGACTAGATCTTTTTTTCATCCAAATAAATATTCAACACCCTATAATTTGATTATTTAATGAATTTTCTTTATTTTTAATATGATGTGTTTCCTAAAACAAACTAATGATTTAATTGAAAATAATCATTCTCCATCGAAAACAAATTAATTGTCGAAACAAACTATTTGTCGCCCGCCGCTTTGCGCGGGTAAACGGCTAGTATATATATATATATATATATATATATAATATATATTATATATATATATATATATATATATATATATATATATATATATATATAAAGTGAATATGTGACTGTTATATTAAATATAGAAATATTAAATTTGACTTTATTTTGATTAAACAACATATATATATATATATATATATATATATATATATATATATATATATATATATATATATATATATTTTACCTTCTTCTTATTTACTTTGAACTCATAATTTATTGGATATCATGATTCATCCCAAATATCTATCTATTTCAAATGTGTTTTTTATTAGATTTCTAGTAGGTTTTATAATTTCATTCAGTACCTAGCTTATGTATACTTGTATATTTTTCTATCATGGCTTATGGAAAGAGGTTTAGTGGATTTTTGTAATGAACATTTTTAATCTTTCAATGTAGTTTTCTGTATTAAATTTCGATTTGAAGACCTACAAATAGTTGATAAAATATTCTTATACATGGTTTGTGGTACACAATTAAACTTATAAAATTCCATAAAAATATATACAAAGTTGAGTAAAAGCTTTATTAGACGATCAAAGAAAGTTGGTAGAGAGATTTAAGTGTTTTTTATTAAAACTATATAGTTTTTAATGGTTCTATATCTAACATTGAATACATGACAGCCATATATTCTCTAAGCCGATATATATATATATATATATATATATATATATATATATATATATATATATATATATATATATATATATATAAGAGTTCATTTGAAACGAATATAATTTTGTGAAACCGTGAGACCAAATTTTTTTAATGAAAATATTCTAATATTCTATTGTTCGGAAAAATAGAATACGCAATATATTCTAACATTATATGTTTTAGAATATTTCAAACTCTTTCAATTTATACTCAATCTCTTCTTACACCTGATTGTGATTCAGCTTGTATTCATCGATTCTTTAAGGATGAAGCAATTATTGAACCAGAGGTACTTTGTAGATATTTTGATGGAATATCCTTTATAGATCATTGATTCTTTTGATCGTTCACAACTTTATATAGTTGAGCATAATCAAGAACATCAAAAACTCAATGAAAACTCATTAGGTATTGCAAATTTATCAATTTAGTGTTCGATTTATTGATTTTTATTGAAATTCATGTTTTTGTCATTAAAATTCTTTTGATCCAAAGTTTTCATCACGGTTGTCTAATTAATGTGAATCTTTTGCTTTTGATTTTGTGTCTCCTATTAAGATTTTCCATATTTATACATAAGACAACTTTTTTGCACTTCAACTGTTGATGAAAGGTTTTATAGAGTTTTTTTTCTCAAGATTTACCTTTTTGGTTTGGGTTTGTTGTTTCTTTGCTTAGTATATTTGTTTTTTGGTTTAGTTTTGTTTGTTTTTTGCTTAGTTCGTTTCCAATAAGTACGTTAACTATGATGCAATTACCTGTTTTATGAAACACGCCATAAAGTTAGGATTATAAGTTTTATATATTAATCATATGTGAATAACATATAACATTGTAAATTTTCTTTATTCTCTTAGTAAGCGTATATTGATTCATGTGAGAACGAATATTCAAATGTGAATATTATAAATTATATTGTGTTTGAATGTTTTTCATATGTGAATAACAATGTTGTGTATTTTGTTTGTTTTTTTTTGTTTGTTGTTTTTTAATCATAGGCTTTATTGTTTCATAATTCCGGTTTTATTTTTTTTGATAATTCCGTTTGCAAATGATAAAGAGAATTCATTTATATATTCAAGATGCTACTATTTTTTTTTCTTCTACGATGAAGATGATGAAATGTCTAAGTCATCAAACCAAAATTATAGTATTTCTAGTAAATAATATTTTAATACAGTTTATTCATATTTGAATATTAAAAAAATTAATATTTAATTGTATTCACATAAGTAAATTTATATTTATTTACATGTGAATAAATAGTGAGTTTTGTTATTTAATATATGAAATTCAATGATTATTTATATGTGAACATATATGCTCAGGTGATGAATTCATATTTTATGTTCATATGTTGTCATAATCGTATATGAATATATAAAACTTTTCAATATTCATATTTGTATATATTTGTATGTGTTGATGTATATTTACATATTATTAATATCATATATGAATATAAATATAATTATTTATCTACATTTCAATGAGTTTTTATCCAAATGTGAATGAAACATAAAATAATTATTTCTTGTGAATACATATGTTACGGTGTTACATACACATGTGTATTGGTATGTTTATCTGTATCACATGTTATTGTAACAGTATTTCAATACATATCCACATGTGAGTATATATTTTCACATCTGATTATACATAAACATGTGAATCTTTGTCTGTCAATATGTACATATTCACATGTATATATTAAAGTGTTATAATCACCCGTGATTGTATACAAGCCTTTTAATTTTCATATGTTAATATGAATGTTCAATATGATTATAGGTAAATGTTGATATGTGTTAGGGATATTGACATGTGATTAAGCATTACCACTACTTATTTATTTGTGATTTTGTATTGTAACAGGTTGAAAAAAATTTCTTGAAAATACATCAAATGCAGTTACGAAGAGTTTAATGTTATTTGTATATTATACATACTAGCTTTTAGAATATTTATGAGAAAAGATTCAAAGGAAATACCTCAACAATATATTCTAATGTGATGGAGAAACGACGTAATATATTCAAATTAATCTTAGTAGAGATCAGTTTGATGAACGAGATGTTGATATTACCAAATTAGCTGATGAAACATTATTTAATTTCGAATCTTGTCTAGATTTTGTGAAAGAATGTAATGTCCGCCGATTCGAGCTAATCAATGTAGAGATAATAAGCGTTAAAATGACTTTTTGATAGAAGATTATTTAGAATAAATAATCTTAACAAAGTTATTGTATATATCACAAGGATTCCATACATATAAAGAATGCTAAAATCCGACTTCTAACGAAGAAGTTATGATCCGTTGAAGTTTTGCGACAAAACGGGCACACCTACATGTATCGTTAAAAGTGAATTTTAGACAAAATACTTTTTAGCCTTAGCAATCTAAACGAAAGTCGTAGTATATTTTAAACCGAGAACGTACAAAAAAGAACATCCAAATCTAACTTCGTTTGAGGAAGTTATGATTTTTCTATGATTTACCACAGGCACAGCAGTGCACAGCCTAGAAATCGAATTTTAGATCAATCGATTTTTAGCCTACACAACCTAAATGAGATTCGAATATCTCATTAATAGGAGCTCAAAGATATAAAGTCACTCCAAACGGACGTCGGATGACAATGTTTTGAATTTTTAACAGATTTTAACTGTCTAAGCCTGTTAAAATATAACTTTAAAAATAAAGTTGAAATTAGCCGACAAAGTCTAAACGAAAGTTGTGGATCCCGTCGATACCTACGAGTGGATATAAAGAATTGCAAAACGGAGCTTGTATACGAAAGTTACAGATTTTAGAAGATAATTAGTTTTTAGAGTAATCTGCGAGTGACACGTGACGTGATCTGAGCCAGTATTTCTTCCCCACGCCTTGCCACAGATGGTGACACATGGCATGGGAACGTCCAACATTCAGCAAGGGAACGCTCCGCGTTCGCACTGGATTAAACCTATAAATAGATGTGCAAATCTCTGATTTTCTTCACACCTTTCAAATTCTCTTCTCCCGTTTACTCCCAAACCTTCTAAGTTTTTCCATAGCACTTGCTAAGTGCTAGAGGCAAGTCCTAAAGCACCAGAAGGCTTCGAGAATAAGAGTTTTCGCCTCGGAAGTTTTGCCCTTGCAGACCCTGATTCCTAGCCAAATCTCCTAGTAAGTGAGTTATACTTACCCTACTTTAAGTATAGCTTATGGTTAAGTTCAATATCGGTATCATTAAGTTATAAACAATATATATACTATAAAATATAATATACAAAGTGTTATTATAATATCTTTTAACTACTTGCGGTACAGTGAATCAGGTTTGAAGGGCCACCTAGTGTTATTGGATTTCAGAAGTGTTATAATGCTAAAATGGTCGTGTTATCCGATGTTTCATGTCTAGCCCCTATATGTACATAGTGGTTGAAAAGAATTGTTTAACACTTACAAAACAATATTGCTCGTAAATAGTCGCTATAAATATTAGACTAAAATATAGCGGTAATGATAGTGGGTTTCGTTGGAGGAGAATAGAATTGTTAGAAGAGAAGCGATGCCCAAGTTTGGAATCATCACTCTAACAAGTGAGTGCATAGTTACTTACATCTTACACATATATATGAAGTATTTAATATAAATTACGTGCTATGTGTACATATTATCTGTGTTCTTGATATGTATGTTGGATAAATAAAATATACATGTTTTATTCGATTTAAACTGTGTATGTATTTTATACCTATAAGTATGATGGGTGAAGATGAGTAGATTGAAGATGAGATGGGAGATGAAAGATGATATAGATGATGAGAGGTGAAAGATGATGACAAGCGATGGACCAG